AGCTCCCTTGCGCACCGCGTACTGATACCAGAGCCGGAAGATGACATCATCTTCCAGCTCCGGCATCAGTACGGTGCACGAGGGAGCTGAAGAGGAAGCACTCAGGGAAGAGTGCTCCCTCATCCGTCTGCCAGCCCGCCCGCCGGGTGACACCAGGGCCAGCCTCGGGGGGCCCTGAGGTGACCGGCTGCTGGGCCCCCCAGTAGAAGAGGCTGGCCAATGTGGGTACATACCGGGTCGCAGGGCCCCCTGCATCCCCGGTATGTACACCACTGAATGTGGGGCCCGGGACAACCTGAGCAGTCTGGGCACCCCAGGACCGCCGGGCCCATGACAACCATTATGGTTGTCATGCCCTGATGGCGGCCCTGACTACAGCTTATTGTATTTGTTCTGGTGAGTAGTGAGTAGTTCGGTTTTTTAGAGAATATGCAATGTTTACATAATATATGATAACTCCACTGGCCACTTTTCAGATGGCTACAAGAGGTGCATCCTGGGGCAGTGATGTGTTTGTCTTGTACTGGCTCTGCCCCTGTTCTGCCTCCTTGACAAGCTCAGCCAATCCATGCTTTACTATGGAAAAGCATTGTGATTGGCTCAGATCACCTTTTTAGTTGATGTCAACCAAACAGGCAGATCAGGGGCAAAGCCAGCAGCACCAGACTTAAATAAAAGTAAGATTTTGCTATATTTAGGGGGGCAAGGGGAGAAGGCGGGGTGGGTGGGGGGGGGCTAGGTGGTGGTTTAAACACTATAGGGACATAAATAAATGTTTGTGTTCCTGACCCTATAGTGTTCCTTTAACGCAATTCTAAAAGATCTAAATTTGCAACAATGTATACACTGAGTCTGTTCAAACTTTGAGGGCTCATTTTCAATGTGGTTGCTAAATATCAGACATAAGTTGTTCTGGCTGTTTGCGGCCAAAAATTATCGACAGGATACCAACCATTACTAACTTTCACCCCTGCAGATACTGTCCGTTTCTTAGTACTTCAATATGTCTTAGTTCTTAGTACTCAACTAAGTCATTGAGATACGTTTTAATAACAATAGCCTTGATTCAGATCTTTTAGATAAGCTAAAATGAGTTAGTCTAGAATCCATTTCTAATATCGATATAGATTTGAAGTATTTAAGTGATCACAAACTGATCAACTGATTTAT